AGGTGCGGTGAGATGCAGTGAGTTGCGGTGCGGTAGGGTGCAGCGAGTTGCGGTGCGGTAGGGTGCAGTGATTTGTGGTGCGGTAGGGTGCAGCGAGTTGTGGTCCGGTGCGGTACGATGCGGGATGAAGCGATGCGATGCGATTCGGCAGACGCCTGGCGACCATTTGGTTGGAGGAGGCGAGCAGTTGAAGCGATGCAGGGGGCTAGAGACGAGGGAGAGAGAGAGAGAGACAATTGATCGACGTGACGCCCCACTCGCCAGCCAGACACCGATTGGTCGAGACAGCGGGTCTTTTCGCGCCGAGGCTCGATAGGTCGAGGCTGGGCGGCAAAAACGGCTGAAACAAGGAGGCGAGAAGGAGACCAACTCGAGGGAGGACTCGTAACAAAATTCTGCCTCGGCGCTTGCCGCACCGCCCCCGCTCCAAACACACATAAGTTGGCTGATCCTGGATCCGACCCTTGCGCTCGCAACCGCCCCTTAGCATTGGTTGACTCGTCCTTCCTTCGCCCACCCGCTCAAGCGAAGCAGCCGGGCCAGAGCCGAGCTGGCACCGTAGACCTGCTCTTCTATTGGCTGAAGTCAAGCACCAGGGCTAGAGAGAGGGAGAGAGAAATAGAAAGAGAGGCGACAGTAGAGGCCAAGTGAGAGGCAGATTGTGGCTGCCCGTGAATCTGTCAGCCAGGCCTGGATCCAGTGCTCCGGTCCCGGAGACGACATCTCCCTCCAATACGCAACGTGTCGTGAATAAAAACCAACGTCGTGGTGTTCAGGTTCCGAGGGTGTGCTTCCACGTCGTCACGCCTCTGTTTACCTCTGTTATGCCTCTGTTTTGCATGTTTTGCCTGTGTTCTCTGAGTTTCGCCTGCTCTAGAGCCTGAATTACAGTAAGTTGGTCCGGCCGGAGCAATGTCGAAGACGTAGTGGCACGTGACAAACAGGCGAGACATGTAGGTCCGGGCCAATCTCTGCTCGCTCTCTTTCGCCCCAGCTTTCCGCCTATCCTTAAATGCGTTTCCGCTCCTCTCGCTCGCTGTCACGCTCTGTTTGACTCTGACCCAGATTAGGACAATGACCTGGTTCCAGCCCTTCGTCTTGAGCCTAGTTGAGGGACGGATCGATAAAGACGCTCTAGCTCCGTCAGCTCGGTTGGCGCTCGGCTGGCGCTCAACTGGCGCTCAACTGGCGCTCGACTGGCGCTCAACTGGGCTCGACTGGGCTCGACTGGGCTCGACTGGGCTCGACTGGGCTCGACTGGGCTCAACTGGCACTCGGCTGGCCTGATACGATTTCGTAAGCGCAGCAGATAAAAGGCGATCGATGATGAAATGAACATGAAATCAGCCGAAACTGATTGGCTGATTGGCTACCCGACTTGCTCACGTCTGTTGTGCTGGTAGGATGTGATCGGGCCGAGCCGACTCGGTGCGCCAGTGCCCACTGGTTTCGTCAACAAGCCAAGTTTGACCCCTAAACCTGGTCTAAATCAGCCATTGGCTCTCAGGCAGCCGCAGTATGCATGTTGTGGTCGAATGAGAGATTTTCCCAAAAAAGCCGTCCGCACAGTCCACCGCCTTAAAGTCGCCACTTCACTTCCGAAATGTGTCCCATTTGCCTTCAAAAACCAAGTCGTCTTTCCTTGAGGCCAGAACACCGAGTCCAGCAGATACAGCAAATGCAGCCTTGCCAACTGACTATTAGTAGAAGCTGGTTGACCTTGTTGTCGCAACTTGTTCTTGTTGTCGGGGCGACTATGTAGAACGCACCTAGTCCGAAGTCGTCTGCCATAGTAGGTGTCATGATTCCCAGCATCAGACAGTGGACTTGATACATTCTCAAACGTTTCGCCGGCATCATCAATGAGCTTTGTCATTCTCCGCACCAAGCAACGAACTCGTCAAAGAGACAAGTAAAGTCAATCCCTCGACAATCGTTCTGCCGAAAACGGTTACACTATCACTCCTCTTTCTGTTCTGGCCTATCTATCTACTCTTTGCACTCTAATCCCACTGCCGCCCTATCACAACTTCTCACTTGTTTACATTCCAATCATCAGAATGTTTGCCCTTTTGTGACAAACCTAGTGTGTTAAAGTAGGGTTTCGAG